AGGAGGAAGAGGAGGAGGGGGAGGAGGAGGAGGAGGAGGAGGTGGGGGAGGAGGTGAAGGTGAAGGTGGGGGAGGAGGAGGAGGTGGAGGAGGTGGGGGTGGAGGTGGAGGTGGGGGAGAACTGCTGGTGTCACGGCAGCACTGACGACTGTAGTTGTTGAATAAACAACAACGTGCAGCAGCAGACAGTATCAACGCTTTTACAGCAGGTGGCGTCGCTGTCCACCAGGACCACGTGTTGAGCCACCTCCCAGCTGCAGTACAGTAGTAACAGCAGTTTCCTTTTTAGTCCACTCAGGTCAAAGGTCAGTGTAGGACTGGTCTAATACCAGGTGTGTAAACGTGTTGGTACTAGAGTAAAGTGTACTGTATGTACTGTATGTACTGTATGTGGGCCACCAGGCCTCAGTTTGACCCACTTTAGACATTTGGATCACTGGGGAACCACAGCTGTCTACGTCGTTCCAATCATTGAATACTTCTACTACTACTACTACTACCACTACTACTACTACTAGTACTACTCCTACTACCACTACTACTACTACTAGTACTACTCCTACTACCACTACTACTACTACTACTAGTACTACTCCTACTACCACTACTACTACTACTACTACTAGTACAACTACTACTACTACTACTACTACTACCACTACCACTACTACTAGTACTACTAGTACTACTACTACTACCACTACTACTACTACTAGTACTACTCCTACTACCACTACTACTACTACTAGTACTACTAGTACTACTACTACTACTACTACTACTACTACCACTACCAGTACTACTAGTACTACTACTACTACTACTACTACTACTACTACTACTACGAGTACTTACCTCCACCTTTTTCTTGTGTTTCTTGTTTTTCTGTTTCTTTTTCAGTAGAATGGTCTCATACTTTGGTCTGGCCAGTTCCTGTCGGAGGACAGAGGAGGACAGAGGAGGACAGGGGAGGACATGGGAGGACAGAGGAGGACAGAGGAGGGCAGAGGAGGACAGGGGAGGACAGAGGAGGGCAGAGGAGGACAGGGGAGGACATGGGAGGACAGAGGAGGACAGAGGAGGACAGAGGAGGGCAGAGGAGGACAGGGGAGGACAAGGGAGGACAGAGGAGGACAGAGGAGGGCAGAGGAGGACAGGGGAGGACAGAGGAGGACAGAGGAGGACAGAGGAGGGCAGAGGAGGACAGGGGAGGACAGAGGAGGTCAGAGGAAGGTTGAAGGTTCTTCTTTATGCTTTTTATATTTAAGTAGAACCAGTAGGTGGCAGTAAGTTGACCTGAATCTTGGGGGTCACCTCTCAAAGACAAAGACTGACCATTAGCTGTTGCGTGTCCTAGCATTAATTAATTAGCATTAATGTTAATTGTTACAACGTTAACATTACTGCAGTTTTGTGAATAGTCTGTACTTCAGTCTATACTTCAGTCTGTACTTCAGTCTGTACTTCAGTCTATACTTCAGTCTGTACTTCAGTCTATACTTCAGTCTGTGCTTCAGTCTGTACTTCAGTCTGTACTTCAGTCTGTACTTCAGTCTGTACTTCAGTCTATACTTCAGTCTGTGCTTCAGTCTGTACTTCAGTCTGTACTTCAGTTTGTACCTCGTCCTCCTCGATGCCGGTCAGGTCCCAGCTGAAACTCAGACTGACCTGACGACGCTTCCACTGTTCCAGGAACAGCACCGCTGTACACACACACACACACACACACACACACGCACACACACACACACACACACACACACACATGCACAGTATTAGAACTTGAAGTACCATCAGATCAAAGCAGTAAATCACAAACTTTAAAACATATAAACATTTGTCCAGCTAGGGGGCGCAGTTATCGGGTGATGAAGTGCTATGTCAGGGGTCACAGGGTCACGTTAACATCCCTGACCGACACAACATTTGAGGCTGTAGTTCTGACTGTAGTTTGGTGCTGCTCACCCCACAGAGACATGAAGATGGCAAAGAAGACGGTGGCGGGGTTGTCGAAGAGGTGCGAGGCCCGGGCCGTGGCACAGGCGCTGCTCAGAGGCCAGAAGTCACAGGCGCCGTCACACAGAGGACACATGGTGAAGTTGAGACGCTCGTCACACATCTCCAGACTGAGGACCAGAGAAGACTGCTCAGACTGACACATGGTACACACATGGTACACACACATGGTACTGTACATGTACTCTACTGCAGCGGTCCTCAAATGAGAGGGTGAGGGTCCACACCCGTTCACACCCGTCCACACCCCTTCACACCCGTCCACACCCGTCCACACCCGTCCACACCCGTTCACACCCGTCCACACCCGGCCACAACCGTCCACACCCGTCCACACCCGTTCACACCCGTTCACACCCGTCCACACCCCTTCACACCCGTCCACACCCGTCCACACCCATCCACACCCGTTCATACCCGTCCACACCCGTTCACACCCGTTCACACCCGTCCACACCCGTTCATACCCGTCCACACCCGTCCACGCCCGTCCACACCCGTCCACACTCAGACATGAACAGAAACCTTGTAGAAATCAATGAAATGTATGTGTGTGTGTGTGAAGAAGGTTCTACAAAGTTCACACACACACACACCTGGGGGTGGGGGGGACTAGACACAGCCCCACAGACCAGTGAGGGTGGTGGTGGGCGGTGACCTTTGACCGACCTGGGTATGTTGGTGTCCACCGTGGCCACGCCGTAGCCGAACACGATGACGCCCACGACGGAGGCCGGGATCAGCAGCTGCGTGTACACACCCAGCCAGGCGAAGTACAGCCCGATCTTCTCACCAAAGTACTTCCTGTGGGAGCAGGGGTGAAGGGTTACCAGGTGAGGCTGACCCTGAGGTCAGGTGACCACCCTCAGACCGGTCTCAGTACCTGACCAGGTCAATGGGCTGGTACTTGTAGAAGGCGGAATATGTGGCCCACTCCTGGTGCAGGGCCTGACGGAACGGAACGGAGAGAAGGTTGAACAACCTGACGACTGTAGGTGACAATCAGTGAGTACATGGTGTACTACCACTGTACTACTACTGTAGTACTACTACTGTAGTACAGTGGTAGTACTAGGTCCACGTGTTGGGTTCTTTACCTGTCTGTCGTTTCTCTCCTCCTCCACTCCCGTCACCCTGTAGTCACCCTGGGGGAGGAGGGGGAGGAGAGGGAAGAGAGGGAGGAGGAGGG